AACAGTTTCAATAAATTTATTTTCACAATATCACAGTATAACAAAATAGAGGAACTCAATTGTATAGTACTAAAGTAGAAGAAATAAGAGGTTTAAAAGAAATATAGCTGTTAAATTGGGCGCATATTGTATTTTATATTATTTTCTTATCCAAGAAAATTAGATTTTTAATATAAGAAACCTCCATATCCTTTTGTTTCGAAATAGCTGAAGCGATTTGCTTTTTACTTCAATAACAAATTTTTAGGAAACAGTTGCTTAGTGAACGTTGTACTTTTTTGTAATACATTTTTTAGGACCTAGAGCCTACATAGGACTGATTTCCAAAAATATCGCCGAAACTTTTGCGATAATACCCCGTACAATCATATTTAAAGATTTTCAAATTTATTCAAAATCGTTTTGGACTTATTCTAAATAACTGATCTAATGACCGGATGGGCGATATTAAATAGCGATTACATAATATTTTGATTTAATTTTTGTATTTTCATATAGATAAACGTAGATAGACGCGAAGTTTTTGCAAGAAAAAAGCTGTCTTTTAGGACAGCTTTTTAGCATGTAACAACAGCGGAATAAATGAACGGCACTGAAAAAATATAGAGCTACTACAATGTCACAATACACTAATCATTTCAAATTCAAACTTCCATATTAATATTTATATACGAAATTACAAATTATCATGTATTTATTTTCAATATTATAATTTTTATTTTAATTGTTGTAACTTTTAATTTTAAACTAATATTTTTGTTATACTTCCATTTATTGAAGACTACATAGATTTTAATTTTTAGAATTTTATAAAAATTGTAAAAGTTTATTTATTTTAATAAGAATAAAATTTTTATTTTTAATAAATAAAATTAGAAAATATACAAAAATAATATTACAAATTTATAAAAAATGTTTCCAATTGCATTAAAAAAACCAAAAAAAAAAACGAATTAAAAATAAAAACTTAAAATGAGGTTATGTTTTAAACAAGACTTGAATAAAATTCACTAAATTTCTACTACAAAACAACAAAAACATAGGTGTTAAAAGAAATATGAGATCAAAAAGAAAATATATTAGAAATATAAATTTTGAAAATTAAATTTATAAAATTAAAAAAAAAAAAATAAATATTTTTATCCTCTTTTCTTTTCTAAAGCTTTTGTTTTTTTTTTGTTTTCTTTGAATTTTTTTAATTAAAATTTTTCAAATTAATATTGAAAAAAAAAAATTTATATTTTACATTTCACGTTATTATATAAAATATTTTCATTATCATTTTATTTTTATAAATTAATTTTTCTTTTGAAAATTTTTCATACTTATTTTTTCTACCAATTTAAATATTTTTATAATATATTCCAATATTTTTTAATAATAAAAAGGAAATTCATATTAAAAGCTTAGAAGAAATTAACCAAAAAATCAACAAAAAACAAACACTTAATAAATAATATTTGTAATAATGAAAATGAATTATGTTTCTAAATTGAATAATTTTATAATGATTATAAAAATTAAATATTTAAGTATGTATTTAATGATTTACTAAAAAAAAATTAAAAGTAAAATATTATAATATGCACAAATAATTATTCTTATTTTAATCATAATAATTTTCAAAATAAAATATTAAATAAATGTCATATTGAAAATACTAATATTACAGACACAAACCATAATAATATATGCGCTTGGTTTGTGTCTGTGAGAATAATATTGAAAAATAATGTTATATTGAAAAAAATTAATGGTTTCGTACTTTAGCCTTAACAATTTGACAGTGGGGGAATAAATTTTATATTTAAGTTATATTAAATAATTCATCATTATTTTAAATTAGTTGTAATTGTTTAATGAAGTATGGGGAATTAATTAAAAATAAAAATGTTGAAATGAGTTCAACCAAAATGTAGAACACAATTAATGATTTTTAATTTTATTATAATCAAATATATGACTGCTTTTATTAAGTTTTATATATCTATGTTTATTAAAAACTCTTCAAGTCAAAAATTCGTGTTTCTATTAAATTTCTTAAAAATTCGAGAGTAAAGTCTAACGAAAATTTTAAATTTCAGTATTTCTTTGTTCATAATTTCGATTGAAATATGGGAAATTTGATTTTTTATTATAATAAAACTAAAAAATAGTAAAGTTGATTTAGATAGTTAGTTATAGCTTTCAAATAACCTAATATAAATTATTTTTTTGTGAAGAGTTCTTTATTATACTCAATTGAATTCATTTGAATACGTATACGTACTTATATTCGCCGGAATTATTATTTAGTTTTTAATAATTATAAAAAAAAATTTATACTTATTTTTCTATTTTGGATTATAGAATCAGAAATTTCAAAATTAATTTTTCTGTTATAGCGAAAATAAAAGAAAATTCAGAAATAAACTTCTCAATTAATTTTGCTATAAAATAAATGAAGGTTTTACAAAATTTCTGTGGGTGATTTTAAGGAAAATTTTTCTAGTATCTACTTAAATTTAATTATATTTAAATTTAAATTTAATTATAATTTTATTTTTGTTATACAAAATATAAATTATTGTATATTGTAAACGAATACTAAATTAAATTTTTTAAACGCAATTTCAACAATATTTCAACAATATTTTTCAGTAATAACACAAGAAATTAATCAACGTTAATAATATTATCATATTGTATGTATGAATATAATATGTAAAAAAATATAAAACATAAAAAAAAAAAAAAAGAATATTTTAAACTGAGACACAAGAAATTATAGAAAAATTACGATCCATGGTAGTGACTTTGATTGGTTATGGTAATGATAAGAAGTGTTTAATGATTACACGCAATGATGACGATGATATGTGAATAACAACAACGATTTAAAAAAAAAAACATATAGATTGCGATTTAACAACTTAAAAATATTAATGCGAACATTTTATATATGTATGTATGTATACACATGAATATATACATAACAAAAACAACACAATTATAATTTTCTTTAAGAGTATACACGTCTGATGAAGATATGATCTGATAAAATGAGGTGGAAAATACATTAATTATAAAAAATAAAGTTTAAAAATTAAAAAATGAAAATTAAATTATAAAATAGTATAAAGAAATACAATTAATTCGAAAATAATTCAAATTATAATTAAAATATAGAAATAAAAGAAAAAAAAAACAGAAATATTAAAATGTGCAAGAATAGAGAAATAAAATATTTAATAACATATTCCAATAACTATATTATAATTTTCTTACAAAATTTTGATATTAGTACAGTAATTAATTAGTAAAGGTTTTTCTTAATTTATTTCCTTTTTTAAATTTTAATTTAATTTTCGATTATAATTTGACAAAAATTATTTCTATTGCAATTTTACTTAAACAAATCAACAATGTCTGAATTTTTGTAACTTCAAATGAATAATGAAAGTGATTTTATAAATAATCGATTAACTCATTCGATACCCATACTATTTCCAAATTAGAACCAACTTACCCAATTGGAAGTCGTAACCAAAATAATCGAAAAATATTTGAATCATTATTATAATTATTGAATTATTTAGAAGATAAAAAATTGGCCGTTAATGTGTTAATGTATTATTGATTGGGTAATGTATAATGAAAGAAAAAAAAACATATTGCATCATATATACGATAAGTACATTTTATATGTTGTAATGTTCTTAAAATTCTTACGACGAATTTTAAGCATCTACTAAACGTTTCCAAGAATTCAAATGACGTAGATTTCAATTTAATAATGTTTACGTTTTAATATCAAAATTTTGTTTTCAAAATATATATTTTATTTAAATTTTGAAAAGAAATAATTATAAACAAAAAATATTACATTTATATATTTTACGATAATAAAATTAAAATTTACGATATTAGAACTTATAAATTTTTTAATTTACGATTAAAAAATTAAAATAAAGTTACCATTTAAAAAAAACAGGAAAATTAGATTAGTTTTTATTATTCCATTAAATTTGAAAATAAAAATTATATTTTATTTAAATCATTTTTGCGTTCTAACAATATTTGAAGAATAAATTTAATATATACGATTTGTCATTATTATTAAATATCTTTTTTTAAAAGTATCAAATTTATGCCAAAATTTGTTGCCAAATTTTATTTAAATAACTTTTGTTTTAAAATATTAAAAATTAAATTAATATTTTTCTTTACTTGGAAGGAAAATAACGTTTACGATATTGAAACCTTTGGGTTATTTCAGCCATAATATTATAAATTCTTTCAATATTCAATAGGTGTCGCTGAAAAATTCGTATTATTATTAATTAAATTAAGCCATTAACGTACTATAACGCGATATATATGTGGTGAAAAGAGCTATATATATGTTTATAAACAAATGTTGCTAATATGCTTTGTTCATAAAGTTTTCTAAATTTTCGACAATATACTTATAAGTATGACGATAACCAAATAATATGAACTCTTTTCCTCTTATAAAATAGTCAAAAATATATTGCATACCAATTAGGTTATGTTTTCGCAGTATTTCGCTTTGTAATTAATGTTTTACAGTATTGCGTTTATGGAAATCGATCATGTTTAAATCTAAATTTGGCATTAATATAAAATTGTTAAAATTGATTATTTAATTCATGATTTTAAAATTAAGATTTTATTGTTTCATAATATTTATTTTAATATTGAAATGAACGCATGATTTAAAATATTTCTTTTAAAATGAATAATGTATCTATATTAAAAATTTTGAAAAATTAAGCGAAACTTAAAAATAAATAGAAAAAACAAAAAGAAAATTTTATATAGCTATAAATATTTTTTTAAAATGTTTTGAAATAGAAAAAATCAACCAAATTAACATTTAAAAATTTATTAATATTATTATTATGTATAATTAAAAATATTATATTAATAAAATATTTATTTAATTTATAAATTATTAATTAGATTTTATTAATTAGATTATTTAATTTTATATTTACCTTTGGAAGTTTTGTCGTTTCACATAATTTTCTCTTACGAATTCAATAATTTGTTTTTGAGTTTTTCCGCTATACCTATATAATGTATATATATATATAAATAAATATATTAAAATTAATAATATCACGTACAAGTAAATAAAACTAGTATTTTAAAAAATAAAATATTTCGTTACTGAATTTCGATTAAAAAAAATTTATTTTACGTCAGTAATGAAAAGAAATACGCATAAAAATTTTTATATCCTAAAAATATGCAACAATATTACAACTTGTTGAGAAAAGCTTGCTTTAATATTAACACTTAACAAATTTGTATATTTAAGATAATTTATTAAAATTTATTTAAGATGTTAGATTATGAATCAAAACAATTAAAAAATTATAGAAATTCAGTATCGAAAGCAGCTCATTTTCTAACGGCTTTTAAAAAGTATAATTAATAATACGTGATTATGAATAAATCATTTTACCTAAATGAACTTCCTCTCGATAATACACGTGTTTTTCGTCTCGGTTGATTTTGTACAACAGCACATCTAAAGAATCCATGATTTTCAACAGCTTTTTTCCAAAAATTTTTGCATTCATTACGAGTATCAAAGAAAAATTCTACAGTATCCTTATAATAGCCCTGCTTAAAAATTTTAAATATAATGAAATACAATAAGAGAATACAAGATTGGAAGAAGAAAAATACAGAAAAAGAAAAAAATTTTTCAAAGTTAAAATATTTTAATGAAAATGGCGATGAAAAATGGAAAACAATTAAAATTTTTTTTTTGAGTTTTCTTTATTTTTGTTTTGTTTTTCTTTATGTATGCTTTGTATAAAATTTTATTGTACCCTACACCTTAGAGAAAATTATGTTACACCCTTAGATTTTGATATGGAATTTTTTAACAAGTTGAAGAGCCGTGCACAGGATCAACATGTTTATATTTTTATTCGGCGTAAAATTTTATTTACTTTGATTTAGACATGTCAGTCTGTTCGTCCGTCAGAAAACAAAAAGAGAACGGCTGTTATGGTAATTAAACTAATCCGAATGACGATTTCAGACAGTTGCCATACAACTATTCAAAAAGATTATTTCAAATATTTGAAAAATAATGCAGTAAGCTGTGTGTGTCCTATTACACTCCAGCTTTGCCTTGAATTCTTGTGTAATGGCTTTACTAGTTCGGATAACTGCCACACGTGTCTAAAACCTTATTTTATATATTTTAAAAACAAGAGTTTTATAGTCAGATTCCCCTGGTGTAGGGTATAATTCAGTCGGTTAGGAGATCGACTTAAATGTTTTTCTTGTTTTTCTGTAAATTTTATATTAAATTAAAATTAAAGAAAGAAATTAATTAAGTAAATTTATTTATATATTCAAAATTTAAAATTTTTATCTAAAAAAAGATGTTTGTGAAATGAAAAGAAAAAATATAAAAAAAACATAAGTTGACTGAAAAGAATTTCAGAAACGTTAATGTTTTTTTTTCCAGAAAAATTTTTTTTTTTGAAAAAACAAAAAATTATTGAATTCCTTTGTAAAATTATTTGGTTTTAGTTTTGCTGTTTTTTTTTACATTTGAAAAGGTTTTAAAAATTCTTCTTAAAAAATTATGAAAAAAAATTTTTAAATAAAATTTAATCAGGTGCATATCAAATTTTGTCTTGCACTGAAATAGAATTGAGTAGAATTTGTGCTACAGAAAATTTAGTTAATGATGAAAATTTGAATTTTTTCTTAAACTACTTTCAATATATCTAATGATCTCTTTAGAAACTAGAAAAATTTTAGAAATTTTTCTTAAAAATTTGAAATTTTTTATAAAAATTCTTGAAATTTTCGTTTTATTTTTAATTCAAAGAATTTTGGTAGTAAATTAGAAAAGGCAATTAAACATCCAAGGATTTTGGTGAAAAAAGTTCAGTCTGAGAAAAAAAAGCTATTGACAAATTATTCGTGTGAAACTGTTGAAAGTATTGCTTCATTTGGGAGATGAAATGAATTTGTATGAAAAATATGTACTTGACTAATGGAAATGATTTCTTGCTGAATGTGCAAAAACGTGTAGTTTGTATTGTTATATGTATGAATATGAAATTTGTCTAATATTTTATAGTTACAAGATTTTATTAAATAACGCTAATTTTTTCCATTCTTATATACTTATGTGAGTATTTGTGTTAATAAGAATATAATATGGCAGAAGCTCGTGTACATAAAAAAATTAATTAAATTGAGAAAGTTTACAGCGCATTTGTGTTCATTCTGTGTTCCTATTATACCTTATATATAATTTCCTTATATATACTTACATAATTTTCCGGATGTAATTTTATTAAAAAACGTTTTCTTTTAAATGATATTTTTCTAATTTTTGCCCATGAAAATGTATTTATACGCGTTATATTTTGGAAGACGGCAATACCCATATGTGCGACTGCTAAATTTAATGGTACACCTTCAACATCTTTCGCTGGATGCATTTTCATACCATATAATTCACAGCGACGCGCTGTTTCAAGTAAATTTAAATCAGCTTCTGCTGGTGATTGACCTCTGTTTAATTGAATATTTGAATATATAAATAGTAAAATATTAAATTTATTAAATTACTATTAAATTATAATATTAAAAATATTAAATTTTATAGTAATAAGATGCAAAAATATATTTTAATCTTATCCTTATAAAATTATATAATTAATACGAATGTCTTGTAATACTTAAATTATTATAATAAATATAAATTTTTTTTATATGTAATTTGTTTTTCAATATTTTTAATACTTACACATGCTTTTTATGATTTTCCATAATACGACGTTGCATCATTGAATCCTGATGTGGTACAAATCGATATGATGATAAATATGTATGATCTGGATAATCTTCAGCAACATAATCACCACATGATGCCTGTACAATATAACTAGCCATTAATGCAGCTGTATTATCATTACATTGTAAACTGCCAGTTGCTAAGTCACGTTTTATTTGTAAGCAAAATAAATATCTGGGGAAAGAAACAAGTAGCAAAAAAATTTTTTGTTAAGCAAAATATTTTTTTTACGTGCAGAAATATGTAATATGTGTATGGATGAGTGTAATAAAATGTTTATACAACTTGCAAATTTTGTTTTTAAAGATATAAATTGTGTCAAAATGTCCTGGAGTTATTAAAGTACAAAGTATTTGTAATAAGGACATATCCATGATAATTTTATTTAAAAAAGGACATCGAAAATGGCTTGTATGAAAATATATATTAAATAATTGTATGATTATAATGATAACATTAAGTCGATTATTGGTTAAAACTGTAGACTAAGGCAATAATTTTTATTTTATAATTTTAATCATCACATAGCAGAAGGAATTTCTGAATTCTGAATGGGTAAAGTGTAGTCAATTGCAATAAGTAAAATTGTGATAAAGAATTGTCAATATCGTATTCTCGATATTGAAATTATTATTCTTGAAATTATTATGAAAATTCAGGAATTATATTATATTGATTCAAATTGCTAATAATAAACAGTTCTATAAAGTTTTTATTAAATTTTTAAAACATACATAGAAACAGCAGACATACGCCTGGTTTAAATAAAATTATTAACAGACCAAATCATTTTCTTCATTATCAAATCGAACAAAATTAATTTGTCGGACATGGCAGGGAGTAAATGATATTAATGGTATACATATAGTTTGTATCATAAAAATTAAATAATATGAATAATTTCAATGTAAAAAATGGCAAAAATTTATTGGTTATTATTAAGAGTTCATTTATCTATACGTACCTTGTATATTCCTCTTCCAATTGTGCTGGATCTGGTGTATAAAATTTTACACAAAATCTTAACATCGGATCAATTAATGAAAGGCCAACTTGACGATTTAATGGTTTTTCTAAATCAAGCCAATATTTTGTATGTGTTGATTGCTCTTGATATTCTAATCCAAAATAATCAGCTTCTAATAAATTCAGTTGGCGGCATACTTGTTCGAATAATACTTTTCCAAGAGCTTTTGCCTATTAAAAAAACAAGAATTAAAAATGAACACATAATTTAAAAAAAATTTTTTTCTAGAAAATTTTTTTTTATAATTTTTTGATAGAAAAATCTTTTTTTTTTAAATTTTTTTTTAATTGTCATTTTTGAATAATAATTAAAATAATTCAATAGACTTGAAAAATAAAATTAAATTATTGAATCCCTTTTAATGTCACCTTTGTTATTACTGAAAACATCAATACCTTCAAGGATTCAGAATAATTACTTTCTATTTTTTTATTATTTTTTTTTTGTTTTTCCTTTGACATTTCTCTAAAATTACAGTGAAAATTCCTTTGTTGTTTATTTTGAAATTACAAAACGTGCCGAGAAAATAGAAGGGTTGAGTTTAATTTTGTATTCAATTTTTCTTTTTGTTTTTTTATTAATTGAAAAAGGGTAAGGTGTTATAAAGTTTTTATATTTTATTTTAAGTGTGTATGCATGTATGTATGTATATATTTAATTAAAATTAAATTAAATGAAACGAAAACATATTCAGACAGTAAAATATGCCAGATTTAGAATTTTGAATAAAGGAAAAAACTTGTGCTACAATTTTTTCTTTTTGAAAATTTATCAAAATTATAACAATTGTATACAAAATCGCCTTATAATTAGCCCCGAACAAAAAAATGGACATGAAATTTGTAATTTATGGTCGCATTTTCCCTACAGCAATGTGGAATAGCATCCGGAATAGTGTGCGCCCATTTCAAGGAAAATAAGTTTTCAAACTACTCTCGAAGTTGTCGAGATTAGTTTGAAAATGGATAAGTTTTTGAAACAAATTGAAAAATACAATTTCCCTTTCATATAGACTTTTGTTATTCAACACCAAAACCCATTTAATTTATTTGGTACAAGGGTATAACGAAAAAAAATAAAACAAAATAAATATCGGGCATAATTACACTTACATTTTCAATGTCTATATGTAATTGTGTATAAAAAAAGGAAAAAATCCTTAAATTCGAAAAATTATGCATGTACATAAATAAATAAAATAGGAAACCGATTTCCTCAATTTTTTTTAAATATTTTTTTTCGTCCTTTCTATATCTTTTCTATTCTTATCATATTTTAAGATTTTTCAAGTGGAAAAAGAAATGGAAAAGACAAAGACAAAAGCAAGAATAAAAATTTATCTCTTAAAACGGTGCGGCATTCTGAAATTTACACCTGACCTTTCGGATATTTTTATGCTGTTTTCTCTTCGACTTTAGAAATGAAAAAAAAAATGGAAATTCTTCTTGAACTCATTTTCATTTCTATTTTTAAAACTATTCTTTTAAAAGATTTTCGTAGCTATTTTAGAATGACTTTACCCTATACCTACATACACATACATAAACATATATTTACATGCGTATACATATATGTATATAAGTATAGATTCAGCAGGTTTATCACTATTATTTCTTCGTTTTTGTTTGAAAAAAAAAATATATTTTTAGGTCTTAAATTTATTCTCATGGGATTTGTGTTTGCCTATAAGCGTCATTGACCTATAACAAAAGAAAAAGGCCAAATTTGGATACTAAAATTTATATGTATTTAAGTATATATACATATATAGGTATTAATAATATAAGAAAACATACAGATGCAAGGTAAATTTATTGAATCCTTGAATACACATCAGGAAATTTTTATTTGTGTATGGGCATATTTTGTGTGTATAACAGGAAACCAATTTTGTTGTAATAATTATCTTATACTACTATGTAGTATAGTTATGTAAATTAATATGTTATCTAAAATTTTAGGAAATAATCAAATTTATATATTTATGTACATATGTATGAATAGTTCATGTACGAGTTATATAAATAATTTTATCATTGCTTCTTTAATACTCGTAAGGTTAATAGAGCGCGGTCATGTAGATTAAAATAACAAATATTTTAAATAAGAAAAATAAACTCTCATGGATATTTGCAAATTTTTTATGTACATATTTTTTTTATTGTTCGTGAGAGATGGAGTTAATTTAGAATTATAAAATAGAATTTTGTATATACATCTATTCATAATGTATGTGTATGTATACATAAATGCCTTTCTATACGTGAATATTAAAGTTGGTGTAATTTGATCTTCTTATACAAGTTGAACTGATTTCTCTTGCAAACATTTTTTAATTTATTACATTTTATTTTATTATCATTTAATACATTTTATAATCTGATATTAAACGAACTTTCTCGTATAGAGAGAGAGAGAGAATAAATATGTACAAATTTGTTTGAAATGAGCCGAATGCGCTCGCACGAGTTCGAATCAAACAATGAAATTTTAATTTGGAAAAGATTTGTGATCAAACTCCCGCTTGTGTGATATAAATAGTTCCTATGACCATCGTTTTACATTTGGATTAAAAATATTTACAAAATTTTAATATTTTTCAATAAGTCAAACAAATAAATTGTCTGATTACTAAATAAACAACATGTTCATTTAATGACTAACATTTTCAAAATTATATTCGGTAATATTGAATATCCATCCGCAATCTATTATATAGTAAAATGTTTTGTGAATATTTTCAGCATACTGGGATGTCCTTTCAAAAACAGATGCATAGAAATATTTTATATAATGTTATTTTAAGCATATTTCTTTGTACATGGCTATAATTTATTAGAAATACAAAAAAAAAATTCTATACACTTTCCGAACTTTAAATTCGTATTGAGTACGCAAACAAAATTTTATAAGGAATTGGTTTTGAAAGAGGAAAAAAAAAATGATTGAAGATTGAAAAACAAAAGAAAGAAACAATAATGATGACAATATCCTTAAAAAACACTTCATTTCTATTTTCTCTTTTAGTTTACTTTTATTGAAAAATTATTCTCTTGACACGTATAGTGCCATAAGGATTATTACAAGGACTTTGTCAATATAGAAGAGGAAAAGAAAATAAAGACAACTTTCATTCCAAAACTAAAATAAAAGAAAGAGAAAAAAATTAATAAAAATCAAAGTGAATAAAAAAGTAAAAAAGTTATTTTCCTTTTCTTTTTTATAAATTTTAACTATTTATCATTTGTCGTAAGTGTCGCTTCACGATACAATCTGATTTGTAGATTTAACGAAAAACTAACATGATAAAATGGTTTTTAATGTGAGCAATAAAATTGTAAGAATGTAGACATAAGCCAAAATTTAACAAATATCTAATTTTTGAAAAATTCTAGCTCTAAATTCATGTCAAAGCGGTTTTTTGTTTTCTTTTAGCTTAGTTCAGAAATAAAACTCTTGATTATTAGCTGTAAAGCACTGCTGAGAATATTTGAGCATTTCAGCCAAAAAATATTTTAAGCATGACTTACGATTTTGGCTTTTGAAAATATGTACGCATTTTATTATTAACATTTCGTTTCATAAAAAATCTGGCTAATTAACACGGGACCAATTATATAAGAAACAATAATTTTCAGATTATGTTACTACAGTAGAACAGGGAATTGAATTAGAAGAACGTTGAACTTATGATAGTATGAAATGTGTTCATTGTTTAAGGATATTTTCAACAAGTTTTTATAACAAAATTATCTTTAAAATATTAAGAATATAAAATAAATATTTTATGTACGCTCACGAAAATACATTTTTTAAAGATGTTCTACGTGTTGAAGTTTAAGATTGAAGTTGGAGATTTTAAATAGTGTATATAGATATTAATAATGTATACACGTTATATGTACCCGCACTTGCTTTCTTTTATTTTTTGCTAATTAATTTTACATTGTACTAATTTTCTTTCATATCCAAGTGTTCATATGCTATATAAATATGTAGATTTTTTTGAGTTGTATGACAGGCACCTGAGAGTGTGGTGGTATTTCCCTCATTTTGTTTTCAGTTATCGAGTGTACGGAATGACATACAAGTCCAAATTATCACAGAATTTTAAGCTGACCGAAAATATAAATACATATAACAGTCCATACCGCAGACGACTCCTTCAAGCGATTACAAACTTTATACTCAAGTTTTTATACTCTTCAGTATTCAAAATTTTTATACTCTAGTACGGTATACAAAATAAAATATTTGGAAATACATAATATATAAAATTTTTAACATTAATTTATTATGAAATTCAAAAAAATTGTTATGAATATTAAATTTATTTGCATACTTTTAGGGGCAATATAATATTTTAATTTTACTAAATTCATAATGATTTTTTAGAAATAAATTTAATATAATTATATTGAAAATTTTGTTACACCTAAAAATAAAATTAAATAGTTTACAGTTCTATAATAAAAATATTAACATATATACGCATAAATTTCGACATCATTTCCTGTTATTGTGTAATAGTTCACTGGTAGACATTTGTGAATTTTAAATTCTAAAAATATCAAAAATATATATGTATTCGATGCCCTAAGGATTTGTGTGAAAAATCTCTTCGATTATAAATTTACATATTATATAAAGCATATAACAGATTTTAAATGATATATACTGAAGCTGATGTGTTATGGAAAAACACACGAAGTAAAACATGTGCCCTTTAAATAGTGTTCAAATATGTACCGCACAATATATGCTAATTAATAGCTCATATTAAATATACTACAGCCAAATGGTTTTTGAAAGAATTTACAAGGATATTTGAAAATAAGGTTTTTATCCTTTTATAAGAGCCGTAATATATACGAGTACATATATACATATATAATGTAATTTAATTCTTATGTACGAATTATTTTATCAAAATCACTTCAAACAACCCTTAAAAATCAATTAAAATTAATCAATTATTCTAGTTGAATAGAAAGCCAATTCAATTTTAATAGTCTATACTTTAGTGTAGAATGTAGATTGAAAGTTTTTTCTCCTTTTCTTTTTATTTTGAACTTTGAATTTTCATAAATCCATTGTCCTTTTTTAATACAAAAAAAATACCTTCTATTTTTCTTTTA